ATACTGTATACAGAGCTATTATTGTATACAGATCTATTATTGTATACAGATCTATTATTGTATACAGATCAAATATTGTATACTGTATCCAGAGCTATTATTGTATACAGATCTATTATTGTATACAGATCTATTATTGTATACAGATCTATTATTGTATACAGATCTATTATTGTATACAGATCTAATATTGTATACAGATCTATTATTGTATACAGATCTAATATTGTATACAGATCTATTATTGTATACAGATATATTATTGTATACAGATCTATTATTGTATACAGATCTATTATTGTATACAGATCTATTATTGTATACTGCATCCAGATGTAAACCACAAAATTTAAACACCTGAAATGGTTGTAAGTTTTTAGCTCCTCAGATAAGAAATTTATCTTCAAAATTTGAAAGTGCATCCTAAAATAACAAAACAGCACGACAGTATAAACCAATGAGAGGATTTATTATTTAGAGAGATAAGAAAAACACTTATTTGTCATATGCAAGGTTAACACAAGGTCAACAGTGCAATGAAATGTTCAGGATGAGAACCGAGCCGACTCGCTAAAAAAACAAAAACGAAAGCATTCAATAAGGGTACGAAATAAAGTATCAAAAATTGAAAAAGAAATATTCTGTAAAGTAAACAACATAGTAGAAGATAGTGGTGCAAGTAGGATTAATTTGTATGAATAAGTATTTCATAGGTAGTAATATTAGCTTAAATGCATAATATATATTACACACAACTAACAAACTACGGGTTATTGCACAGGTAGTAACATTGAGATGAATTCTGCTGGTGACACACGTGACACAGCCACACAGTGAAGCAGCAATAAAACAGCAGATTGTTTTTAGTAGCTGACCATGAGAAGCTGTGATGTATAGAAACACCCAAATAAAAAAATAAAGGGTAATTTATATGTCCAACACTTACACAAATGTTAATCACAAAACAAATCCGTGTTCAGCTGCAGATAAAAAACATGAACGTTGTAGAAAATTACCAGTACGTTACAGAAATATTTTATTTTATGCACTTGTGAACAAACCGGCAGCTCGTACGTGTCTTTCCATAACCCTGTTTTAAATAAAAATAACACCTAAAAGTAAGAAATTGTACTACTTACTCCTAGTAATCATTACTATGAAACATATTCAGAAAGAGTCTCTAAGAGAATTTTATTTCTGTAAGTAATTTTTCTGCGACTTAATGCAAAATATAAACCAAACTGAGTTAAAGTTAACAGGAAGTAACGATGACAGGCATCAAAACTGTAAATCTAAGACGGGCCCACCGGGTCAACATGCAGGGTCCAGAGGATTCTTTACAACGAGCCCCAGCTCTGAGCCTCGGCGGACACAGAGTACACCAGCAGGGGTCCGGTCCGTTTGCAGGCCGTCACAGGAAGGTGTGAAACACACGAGTCTTCAGACTCTTGGTTCGAGGGACGTTCCTCGTGGAGAAGTTCATCACCTTGAACATGTTGGAACAGCTGCCCAGACTGAAGAAGGGGAACCAGTGATGGGCCCGTTTGTTCCGGTGAAGGTTCCAGAAGGAGGAGGAGCAGCGCTGGAAGTCCTCGATGCTGACCGCGTACTGACCTGGTCCCCACTGGGAGACGCGGAGCAAAGTCGCCGAGGAGGCGAAGCCACAGGTGCGAGCGGCGACGCCGTGGAACACGCACTCCCCGGGCCTCACCGACGCCCCCCTCTCCCAGACCATCCCAGCCTCCTCCGCCACTCCCATCCCGCTGAGGTTGCAGAGAGCCAGGAGGCACACCTCCTCCAGAGCCTGCTTGTCAGGAAACCGAAGCAGGATGGCGACAAGACGTGGCGCCGCTCCTCGCCGAAGCAACAACTCTTGCTGCTTGGCTGCAAACGGGAAAGAAAACGTTTCGAATCCGTTCCATTCTAATCGTTGCAACTGGTTTTAGTTTCATACGACGCCGTTTTCATAGAAACTAAAAGGCGTAAAATGCATGTCGGGCAGTCATCTGAGCATTTCACTTGACTTACGGTTGTCGTAAGACATGTGTGAGATGGTTTTTGCTGCGTAGATGAGCAGCTCTTCGTTAGAGCTGGTCAGGACTGACAGCAGAGCCGTAACCAAACCTGCATCGCCAAAACCTTTACGAACCACAGCTGAGGAAACACAAAACACCAATTCACTGGTTTTGTACAGTACAAGGTTTGACTTCCTACTTTCCTTCTCCATCTGTGCCAGTAACCTACATTCCTTGGCCAGCTCAGCCACCAGTTTTGCAGTCAGCAGAGTCAGAGGACCTCTGCTCCTCAGAGACAGCGCCAGGATGGGCAGGATCCCGCTGATCACTACCTGCTCTGCAGCACCTTTCTCTGGATTCAGAAGAAAACACAAGAAATATGAGTCAACTAATTAAAGGTGAAGCGGCAAATGACGATGTTCTTCAAAGGTTTTGTTCTGTGTCTCAATGTGCAGCTTTGAAAATAAAACATGCAGGAAATTGCATCTACTTTATTCACAATTTTCTGAGGGAGGACCCCCATATCCGCTATTTGCGTTCCGGCATAGATCAGTTTACAAATTAAGCCCCGGTTTATACATCACATTTGAGCCATTTCTTCTTAGCTTCAGTTATTACAGAGTTATGCTGTAGCTCTGGCTACAGTCTGCTGTGTACGCTGTTCAATATGAACAAAAACATCTACACCCCCCTGAACATAAGAGGATCTGCGGTGGAAGTGGTCTCCAGCTACAAGTACTTGGGTGTACACATGAATGACAACCTCAGCTGGAGCAACAACACCACCAGCCTGATCAAGAAAGCTCATCAGAGACTCTACTTCCTCAGACGGCTGAGGCGAGCTGGTCTGGGAAGCTCAGTCCTCACCTCCTTCTACAGGTGTGCAGTGGAGAGCATCCTGTGCTCCAGCATCAATGTGTGGCATGGAGGCTGCACAGCTGCAGAAAGAAAAGCTTTGCAGAGAGTGGTGAAGGCTGCACAGAAATCCGTCTGAATCAGCCTCCCCACCATCACAGACATCTACACCTCCAGATGCAGGAAGAGGGCCACCTGCATCATGAAGGACCCCACTCACCCAGCACACACACTTTTTGCCCCACTCCCCTCAGGAAGGAGGTTAAGGAGCATTAAGTGTAGAACCACTAGACTGAGGAACAGCTTCTACCCTGAGGCTGTTAGACTCATGAATCTCTAACCAGAATAATCACTGTGAAAAACCACATCATGTTGCTGCTGATCTGTTTCATGTTGCTGCTGATCTGTTTCATGTTGCTGCTGATCTGTTTCAATGTTGATGTGTTCATGCGTGCACATCTGCTCACAGACTCATGTTCATGTTTGTGCTGATGTTCAATGTTTTATGTTATGAGTGCTTAGTGTATATTTAGTTGATGTTTTTCTTAGTTCATATCTTAGATGTTATTACTGTTTTTCTTATACATTTTATTGTTGGATGTAACTGGGACCTTGTGTACATAATTTCGCTCCACCACATGTACCACATGAGGTGCGAATGACAATAAAGAAACTCTGACTCTGACTCTGTTCATCAATCTGTGGCTGGTGCGCAGGTGACACGAACTGAATCGTATTTATTTCAGGAACACTAAACATGCAACCTCTTCGACCTTTCTTTATCGCTGCAGAGACACAAACACAGCTTAGCGTCAGCTAAAGACACAACTGTCACAACGTGGCTCCGACTAATCGTCGTGTTTTCACAACTGATTCACCGTTTAGGTCAGACGTGCATTTACAAAGACGTGGCAGCATGAACAGTCAATAGTAAATGGGAAAAAAATGGTTTAGCAATTCAAATCACATTAAACGTGATAACACATCCATTTCTTCACTTTAAAATCAATATGGAGTTTTATTCTTAGAGGGAATATCTCAAGATATTATTATTATTATGTATGATATTATAAGAGTGGAAGCACAGGAACTCACGTCTCTCCTTAATGTTCGCCAGCACCGTGTTCAGATGAGGTTTAAGCTCATCTTCAACCAGCTCCACACCAAGAACTCGGATGGCTCCCAGTGCATAGTTCAAGTTTTCTACCGAGACACAATAAGATGCGAAAATCATAAATTAAAGACCTGGGGCTCAAGAAAATATGGACAAACAACAGCTCTCGGTCACCCATTTGAAAATTAGAGCAATAATTATTTTTCATATAAAACTAGAGGCGTTACAATTATACATCCCAGAGAACTTTTTTATTCCACGAATGGGTTTGAAAATATCAAGTAAAAATCACAACTAAAGTTTTACATTCAGGACGCAGGTGATTTGACTATTTTTCCCCGTTTTACTTTAACTTTATTAATAAACAGGTTTTAAAGCATGTTGAAAGAAATTGTTGTTTTTTTGTTTATAATAGACCGTGTTGAACGTTACGACTGCAAAATGGCAAAAAAGTTGCACAGCTGTAAAAGTGGTACACATTAGAAACAGCTGGAGGAGAAACAGCTGGAGGAGATTTGACGGCTCATCAGGCAACAGGTCAGAAAGAAAAGAATATTTTGAAGGCAGACGTTCACCAGATTACAAAAAAAATCTGCATTAAAAAACTTTGGAACAATTTCATAATAATGTTCCTCAATGGGGGTGGCGCAGTGGGTAGAGCTGTTGCCTCTCAGCAAGGTCGCTGGTTCAAATCCCAGCCGAGGACTTTTCTGGGTGGAGTTTGCATGTTTTGTCCGTGCATGAGTGGGTTTTCTCCAGTTATTCCAGTTTCCTCCCACAGACCAAAAAACATGCATGTTAGGTTGACTAACTAAATTGTCCCTGCGACCTGTCCAGGGTGTCCCCTGCCTCTGGCACAGTGACGGCTGGACATGGGCACCAGTGACCCCCGTGACACAAAAATGAAGAAGTGGAAAAAGATAACGGTTTCCTCAATGGAAAAATGGGAACGCTTTAAATATCCCGTCCTCTACAATTCATAATTTCATCAAAAGACTTCAAGAATCCAGAGAAATATCTTTGAGCTCAAAGGACGAGGATGAAAGTCCATCTTGGGACCCTCAGGGGCCACTGCATTAAAAACAGGTCTGGTTCTGTTCTGGACATCAGTGCATTCGTTGGGTCAGGAACACGTCCGCAGATCATTTTCTGTAAACACGGTTCACGTGCTGCTGAAAGCTTTTAAAAACACACAAAGTGGAAAACTGGACAAGTCAAAATTCAAACGTCCTTTTGGAAAACACAAACGATGAACATGAAATATTTAAATCCAAATTCTAGTAAGAAGCACTGGTTCTTTTCTTCGAGCGACAAGTTGCAATCAAAGAATTATTAATTAAACCGTTTTCAAATCCTACAAGAACTGTCAATGTGACGCCTGTATTACACGAATCCATTTAGAACCAGAACATCGAGTTCATTAAAGTGTTTGTTTTCAAACAAGCTCGTTTTAAATCTCTGCACCGATTGTTGCGTGTGCGCCATAAAACGCCTCGTTACTCACCGTTTGCTGTGTAAAGCTGCAGTCTACTGGACGCACGTTTATCCCGGTGAGCTCGGGCTTGTTTATAGGAGAGTGGCACGTTCGGGTGGCCCATTCTGCTCCGTCCCGTCGTCGCTCAAGAGAAACTTTCTCAGCCCGACATCTTGAAAAGCTCGAGACTTTCAGTGCTGCTCCTCAGGGCAGCATCTGTTACTTTGAGGACGTTTAAAACAACCTTAGCTTCACTTCAGCATCGATCCTGCACTCCATCCTTTTTGTCTGTCGTTTTGCACAAAATAAAAGTTTTTATGTTTTAATTCAGGTCTTGTTTATGCCTCTCCTTCACGCTCCAGCTGGCTCTCAAATTCCTTTCAGAGTTAATACAAAGCAAATCCTCACTAAATCCCTGCACTCATCTGCCCGTGTGCGAGTGCACGTTAAGGTATTAGCACGACTGACTCGGCTGAGTTTATTCCCACTGCCCTACAATCTCACATAATGCCTTTCAGACACAACAACAACAACAACAACAACAACAACAACAACAACAGATCTGGCATGTTTTCTACACAGGTGGATCGTTTGACATGTCCCCAGATAACTTTTACTGAAGGTGGTTAATAAAAGATCACAAAGGCATTGAGATAAACTTAGTGGCGGTGGCTTTTGAGCTTTTTCTCATTCCGTAAAAAAAATAGAAGCGACATAGCACAATAAATATATATTTTATAAATTTTACTCAACTCTTGGGAGTAAAAAAAACCAACCAAATAATTAAGTGACTTCTCTTACATGACATCTCTAAACAAAATGATAGCAATATAATTAATACTTGTTCAGAAGTGTGAACCATTTATGAGACATTTTTAACAAGTTTACATGAATATGGTTTGAGAATATCACTATAGTACTAGGCCTGTCACGAGAACAAATTTTGCTGGGCGATTCTCAGAAATTATTGCGATAAACTATAATATTGCTTGAAATTTGACAATAATTAGTAGTTATTATTATTGTCAAATTTAAGAAGAAATGTTGGTTGTTTTGAGCGTAGTACATTTTTTTGACCACCGGATGGCAGTATAAGACTGAACCGAAGGATGGATAGTGAGGGAACGAGCAGCGTGTCTCTTTAAGAAAATGGGAGGGAGGCCCCTTGTGACGTGACATGGCATCCTTTTATGATTGTCTATTATTGTCGACTGTTAGAATCAGGTCTCGCTTGTAAATGAGTCCCCGAGGCTTAATGGCATTAACCTTTATAAATAAAGGTTGAATGAATGGGCTGTCTCCTTTTATTCGGTTCTCAAAATGACGGACGCTCGGTGTGGTTTGAGCGCTTTAACATAGCATTTATAACACAAAGCTTTTAATTAAAATTTTTTTTTTAAATCGGTAAATAAGTTCTCAGCTTCTTTTTGCAGAGAAAAACAACTTTTTACACAAAAGCACGAGTTTCAACCGGGAATTTTGGAGCTTCAGCAAGACGGGGTTTTCCCAAGGTCGGCCCGTTAGCTTAGCTCGTAGCTTAGCCGCTTTTAACAATCCAAAAACGCAACTTTGGATTGTTAAAATTGGTTTTAAAGAGAAAGGGAGGGGTCAGTCATCCAGTGTCTTCGGTAGAAAGAGACACAAAGAAACGATAAAGCTGATAAATGAAAACGAGGTTGATAATTATCATTTATCATGCGATTAACTGATTTATTGTTTATCGCGACAGGCCTATATAGTACATATTTGAACAGAGAACATGACACTACTGAATGAATTGCAGATCAACTCAAAATTGTTCTAACATAAAATAATCCTAAAGGCATATTTACTTCGTAATATCACTAAGACAAGGTACACATGTGTAATTAAACACGCAGCAGGTTAGTCCAATAATCTAACCTGGGAGTTGACTCCTTTCTAAATTAAAAGCACTTCTTTGAAAACTTTCATGTCAAAGTTTGGAACAATGATTTTCTGTTAGTGCTCAGTTTGTGTTGGGCATGACCCTCAACTTCTATAACACGGAAATTTAGCTCATTGTCTGTTAAACGGGCTGAGCTCGAGCCATTGTTGTTTGTTCAGATTGACCAGCTGTGGCCATCTTGGTGGTTTGTTATACAGCTGAGAATCATTGTTAGCCATTCTTCTGCATGACTTTAACAGATGAGATGGAAGGCGTTGGGGCAGCACTGAGCGTTAAGATGGTGATGGATTATGAGTCGCTTCTTTTCACACCATTTTAAAGGGATGCCATTTTCTTCGAAGTTGCATTGTATGAGACTAATCACAGTTGGTGCATTACTATGAGATGGTGCTGCCCCAATCCAGCTGCAAAATGATACGATGGCTTTATATTTACTGTAGTACATTCTGGGTGGTTTACATGTTCTCTCTGTGCATGCATGAGTTTTCTCTGGATACTCCAGTTTCCTCCCACAGACCAAAAACATATTGATGATTGGTAACTCTAAATTGTCCCTAGGTGCGTGAAAGTAAGGAGGTTGTCTCGTTTGTCTCTATGTGTCCCTGTGATGGACTTGCGACCTGTCCAGGGTGTCCCCCGCCTCGCACACTGCTGGATATGGGCACCAGTGACCCGAAAAGGAAAAAGCGGGTAAAGCACTTTGGTTGGCCTTGTTGCTGTATTAAGTGCTTTATAAATAAAGTGGTATGGTATGGATGGATGGAGTCTACTGGTTACTAAGCTTTGCACGAGCCTGTTAAAATTAGTTTTATAAAATCAGGAACGGGAAACAGTACATGGTGACTGGTTTGCCAAAATTATGAAAAAAAGCCACCAGACGTTAAGAGTTACTGGGCAACTGTTGTTTATGAGTAAGAAAGTTCATTCTCATTCAAACGAGACGTTTTTCTAAAGAATCCCATTAATGGTGTCACCCCAACTAGGATGCTCCGACCACATTCCTGTGTCCAAGTAATAAAGACCTTTTCACACATGAACACATTTACATTATGAACGTGTTCAACTGGAACTGCGAAATGTTTACAGCTGCTGTGACGCTTTCACACCTTCCAACCAGTCGCTTTGTTCAACTCCACCTTGCGAGCTGAATCGTGTAGTTTTATTGAATAAACTGTAGAAGCAAAACACGTCTGCTCGTGTGCTTTCCTTCCTGACATGCACACACGACAAAGCAAAACCACAGCTCTGTCCCCTTTTCACATTAAATGTAGGGATCCAGAAAGAACACTGACAAATCTGTGCAATGTCTGAAAACAATGACTTGACGGAATAGACGCCTCAGGTCTACAAGGCGTTACTGCTTTCAAACTTCAAGATAAGTTAATAGTTTGATCGTTCACCGTTTTATTGCCTAAAACCATTCAGGCAGAGCTGGTGCTGTCTCAGTGGGTCTCTGAGCAGTTGTCAAACAGTTCCTGTTGCACTCAGACCACTAGAAACAGCATCGTAGCCCACAGAGACAAGCGTCAGGACATTATCCACATTATCTGGTTTGCCCTGCTCCGTTTGGGTCTCGACGGGACCAGAGGGTTCAGACTCCTGTCTCATCTTCTTTTTGGCTCGGGCTCGATCCTTGCTTTTTATCAACATCTTGCCTTGCTCGTTCATCCCTCCACACAACTTGTGGGACTTCTCGTTGTCGCAAGAGCGGGTTTTGCGGTGGCGCCTGCGGATGCGACGCATAGGGAGCCCCGAGTCGGTTGGGTCCGATGCCGCTGCCCCGGACAGGATGCGAATCTGCTGCTCGATTACCATGGTAACCATGTCCAGAGCGACATCCAACATGCCAAGGCCGAGACCATGAGTGACATTGTCGAACGCACCACTGTTGACTGGGTCCTTGAAACACTTTCGCATATCTTCAAGATGGTTCCTGAGAGACAAATGTAGAGCGTTAGTTTGACTTCATGAAACTTCACAAACAAACATGTTTTAAGGACAATCATACTTCGTTTCAATCATTTTGGACCAGTGTTGGACGGTATTTGTCTCGGGGATAAGCTGTTTCGCCATGTTGCCATAGTCAATGTAATCATGTGCAAAATCGTTCATATCTTCACACAGAGCTCTGGTGTCACCTAAAAATACAACAAACAAAAGAAATCTCATGAAAACCCTACTGAGACAAATCCCCAAATCGACCCATTGATTTATACGTGCACACATCCGTCACCTTCAGTGAGTTTGGAGAACGAGGACGACACGGAGGTAGTCGTGCTTGGCGTGAGGCCGAGGACATTCAGCGACTCCAGAAGTGTTTTCTTGCTGGCTGGGCCTCTGCTGACCCGGGTGTACGCTGCCAGGGACCGGAGGGACATCTTCTCTGGGGGCTGCAGGCGCCGTTTAATTTCATCATAAGAGATTAGATATTTCCCTGAACATGAAGCCGGACAGGAGGAAATAAATTAGCACGGCGGGGTTGGGATCCAGCAGCACAGACGGATTTACTTTTCTAAATGTTGAAAATTTTCTATCGACAAATTAACTTAAAACACAAAGTTCTAACACTCAGGTCCTCTGGACGGATTAAAAACAAAATGCTTCTTACAATGCTATTATTGCTAATATCACTCAGCCCTCTGTGAATAGCAAGCGACCATCAGGGCACTAACGTTAGGCTGATCTGTAGTGTTGTAGCCCTCGAGACCGGTCTTGGTCTTGAGACTGGCCTCAAGACCACTTTTTGATGGTCTTGGTCTTGTCTCGGACTCGACCGCATTTGGTCTTGGACATTGGAGACTCGTGGTCTTGAAATAAAAACCCAAGTGAGGAAATATCACTAAACTAGCAGAATACTGTCCAGTTTATTTGTTAACATTCTTGTTTTTATTGGATGCAAAACATATAGATTCAAATCCAAGCGATAACGTGACTCGTTGCTGAAAACATGTTTTTGTTACCGCTGTCACGCCCACTATCTTTCACTCGCACGTGGTTCTGTACCAACAGAACAATACAGACAACTGAACGTAACAGAACATGTCACAATCACAGTGAAAGTAAGCCGGTACGAATAATCTGTGAAAAGATTGAGCTCCAAGACTTGAGGTCTTGGTCTCGGACCCCAAAAGTCTTGTTCGAGTCTCGGTACACTCTGGTCTTGGTCTTGGGTTAAGTGGTCTTGACTACAACACTAGGCTGATGGTCCTTTATCGTGAGAACAGCTAACAAAGTTCAGTTTGGTGCTCTAACAGTTTCTTTTTTTAAGTTAAGCTGTTTCGTCCATCAATCTGAGGAGCCACAAACAAACTGAGTCCCACAAGCAGCGCACTCTCAGAGTGGACCAACCAGTTTTCTGGTGATAAGATGGCTTCTGGGGTCCGCTCTCTCCCCCCATCAACTCCTCTGCCAAAGTGGTTCAAAACATCACAGTTCATGCTGAATAATCCAGGTAGAAAATCCAACAAAGTTCAGTCAGGTCATCTGGACGGTTTATTTTTATGTTGAGCCGTTTCGTCCTTCACTGTGAGGGTGTGCAGCTTTTTCCATTCATTCAACCTTTATTTATACAAGTTAATCCCACTGAGCTCCGGGGGCTCATTTACAAGAGAGACCTGATTTCTTTAACAGAGTGATGACAACAGTGGATGACAACGTATCTGCAATGACAGCATGTGGGACTCAAGTTTGTTTGTGGCTCCTCGGATTGATGAAGTCCTTTGGATGAAACGGCTCTATATAAAAAAAAGAAACCATCCAGATGACCTGACTGAACTTTGTTGGATTTTCTTCCTGGATTATTGAGATGAATTTTGATGTGAACAAATAGTTTTGGCCCTCACTGGTTGAGCCACTATAAGAAGATATTATTTATAAGACTGAGTTTAGTGCAGCTCCTCAGACTGACGAAGTCTTTTGGATAAAAGACAAAACAATTCAACAATTACTTTTTTGTTTAATCCGTACTAGAGGACTTGACCTAACTTTGTTAGATTTTCTACCTGGATTATTGAGCATGCACCAGGATATTTTTTTCAAAGCAAAGCTTGTTATTGCAACTTACGAGCCTTGGATCCTTTCATGTTGGGGTCCAGGAGGGACGACACCTCTGCAAATGGCATCTCGGTGGTGGGTTCTGAGTTTGCGTGCAAGTCTGGTGGCAGCTCTTGATGCTGGGGCACGAGCTCCGTCTGGAGCGGGGCAGATCCCTGCATCTGATGCTGAATGTTCAGCATTTCAACCTGGTTCTGGTCTAACGGAGCCTGACCCTGTGCCTGAGAAGGGACTAATGCGTTTTCAGATAAACCCTGCATTCCCATCCCTCCTGGTGATAGGTTACCTTGCTCTGAAGACACCTGAAAAATGCTCATAACGGGCTTCACCACAGTGAAAACCATGTTACCCTGGCTGTCCAGACCCATGACTCTACCAGATGGGTCCATGTCTTTGCTCAAATGTTTCCTCTCTAGCAGAAAGAATAAAAGTTATTATAACTCTAGTTCTAACGATGAGAGTTAATACTGAGCTAGTCTAGCTGAGAATAAACACCCCTACATTAAAACTGTTCCATCTCTTCTCATCGTTACCAGTCCTTTAATTACTCGTGACAACACATCTGACGTGTTATTCTGGAAAACAAACAAACAAAAAAAGAAACGCAGTTAATACCTGAGGTTTAAATAACATGTTTTAACTGCGAAGGGACTAAGTCTGTGTGCTGTAATTTTACTGACACTTGACCCACAGACAAAATCTATTATAGAATATTTTGGGGGGAATAAAATGTGTTTGTCAGGACCAGTTGTGCGAGTCAAATATGTTGGCCTTTGAATTTCCTTACAGGAAAATATGCAAGTGTAGATCGGAGCACGTTACAAAATACCTGCAACAAAATTACATCATCGCCACAAAAGTTCCTCCAATGAGGTGAAGCCTCTTTCAGAAATATCCTACACAGTAACAGAATATATCCATGACATGTTAAGCATCTATATGTTTAAAATTAATTTGACAGCTCAGAATACACTTAACATTTTTGAATTTATGTCTGAATTACGACAAATCAGTATGTTTCAAGTATGATTTTTTTTTTTTTTTACTCAGTATTTAAAAACCAATTTCATCCTCAGTGTTTTACTGTTCTGATGCGATATAAAATTCATCCGTTTGAACATATAATCTTAAAGTAAACAGAAGGAATAAGCTCCTAAATGGAGCCTCATTATGTAGTTTTCGGGTAAGGCATTGCTTATTTCAGCAACACAATGAATGAGAAATACTTTATTGTTGTGAAATAAGTTCCCGAGGGTGTTGGACAGTTGCAACAGCTTCACGTACTCAACATCTGACACGTTCAAGCACCATTTTCAACCAAATGAACATCTTGAACAGTTTAAAAATCTTTTTTATCATGTGTTATTTGCATTTTACAGTAACCTAATAAATGAATAAAGGCTTGTATGAAAATGTCATGGTCACAAAAAAATACATGTAAATTAGCATAATTAAGATTTTATGGTCAAAAACTGCAATGCATTAATTTTTTTATTAAATTAATAAATCTGATAAGACTTTCCAGTATTATTAAGGTGAAAACAACATGGCTAATTAAAATTTTAGAAAGCATAAGTTATAATAATAATAATTCACACATATTAATAAAGTACAATATAAATAAAACAACAATGAGCAGTATTTTTATGCTGCATTTTACTTTTGATATAATTACTTTTCGGTTGCTCTGTAGAAGTTTATAAATTAGGACAAAGCAAAAGCAGTTTCAGGTTAAATTAAATTAACTGTTTGTGAAAAAATGTCCATTTACCCTTGAAGCAAAGAAGCGCGTGAGACCAGTTTGAGTCTCGCGCCATTACGCATGCGCAAAGCTTTAAAAACAACTTTTTAAAAGTTTAACGCTTATTAAAGCGAGATGTAACACTTTAAATCCACACAGGTTTGGAGACTTTGCTATTGCTGCTAATTTGGAATGCAACCTACGAACCTCCTGAACTTTAAGCTAACTCCGTTAATTTGAAGACAAGCAGCGCATCTAACGTTAACAAACATCCATCATGGCTGCCAAGCCACCGCTGCTGGGGTCGTTTTTATCTCTGAAATATGAAACAAGGACACGCAGCTGCGGTTCTGAACTGCATCCAAACACACACGAGTCCTGACTTATGCAACAGCAAGTGATGGGTGCCCCACTCACCGATCTGCCGTCTATTTTACCCACCAACAGTTCGCTGATCCTAGAACGGTCCGAGTCCAAGCCGACGACATTTTCTCTTCTTGCCCGCTGCTGCTTCGGCGGGTTACAAATCAGCCAACGTGCGCCGCAGTCCGAGGCAGTAATCTCCGCTGTGATTGGTGGAGAAACAGATCAATCATCGGGGAAGCTATTCTCATTGGACAAGAAAACGGTAAATAGCCCCCAAGGGGGCGGTATTTCCGAACTGCAGCAGTGCGAACAGAATATCAATAAAAACTCTGTCCAGATGACCTGACTGAAAAATGTTGGATTGTATACCTGGATTATTGAACATGGACTTTGTTGTTAATAAAAACTCTTGTTTTTAATAAATTAGAGAAAAACGTCAGATCCATATTTTTTTGATCTTGTTGAGATGTCGTGGTCTTTAAATCGTAAATGTTTGACTTTTCAGATTAATTTAAATCTTGCCTTTTGTATCAGGCGCAAATCAAATCTAAATTTTGTCTGATGAACTTTAACAGTGTGCATTTGATGAATCAGATGTATCAGAGTACAAATTATTCCAAATTAAATAGCCCATATTTGTCTTATCAATGATAATTACCCAAAGTTGTATTTTCTCGTTAATCTCCCATTTCATGGTTCTAAAGTTTAGTCACAATGTAAGAAATAGTACAATATAACAAAGTCAATACAATGTTTCAATAAAACAAAAAGCATTTAATTTCATAATGGATCTAATAATGACACCTTCATTTACTGACTGTTGTGATTGTGCGCCCTCTAGTGGACGTTCTGTAGCACGTTATCTAAAGAAAATACCATTTTGCACAGGTTTTAATTAAATGTTTTTAAACTGGTTTTAATTGTAGTTCAAAACTATTTAAAGAAAATGAAAGAAAAAAACAATTACTTTCAGATTATTTTTCTATAAAAGTAGAAAAGGGTTGGAACGGTGAGATTCAGTTCAGTCCATTAATAATCATTCACTCATTCAACCTTTATTAAAGCAGGTTAGTCTCAGTGAGTCACCAGGACTCATTTTCAAGAGAGATCTGTTTTAGACAGATAACATTTAAAGCACAGACAACAATAACCCAACAAAAAGCAATAAAATAAAATAAATTATAAGCACAGTCTAATCAAGATGCCATATAAAACAAGATAAAATCGATCCAATGTGCTTTAATTAATGGACAAAGCAGTTTGGCGGTCAGTGCTGCAGTCTTGTAATTCTAAGGCTGCAGGTTTGAGTCCAAGTTGCATCAGGAAGTGCATCTGGCATAAAACAAGTGCCAAATCTTTTGTGTAAATTTCTCTCGCTCAGAAAAATCCAGAGCAATCGAAAGAAAAACAATGACTTGATGGACAAATAATTCACACGTTATCTGCTTATGAGTAAAATGCAAAGAAATTATATTTCTTTAATTCCTTCGTCCTGTTTTAGTTATAAACAACATTTTAAACTGCTCCTAATTCTGTAATGTGTTCCACAACATGCCTGCTGCTTTTTATGAAAAAGATTTTTTCAGATTTTCACTGAAAATTTCAAAGCACTTACAGGCACTAAGCAGAACATATTCACGTCAGTTATTTGTAGTTTAAAAAAAAAAAAACTGACGATCTATCTGTCACATTTGCAGCTGCACTAATTCATATGATGTTCTGAAACTAACTCGTAATAAAATTCAGGGATTTAGATGACAGCTTGTGTGCTTCTACTTTGAATAACTCTTCTAAGCCTTGAGATAAAAAAAAAGAAACTGAAATATTCTTTGTTGAAACTTTTCATGTTTTGTCCAAAAGACTTCTTCAGTCTGACGAGCAGCAACAAATTCTTGTCATAGTGGATCAACCAGTTTGTTGGTGATGACAAAACCAGCTGTTCACCTGCAAAAAGAGGACCATCAGCCTAACAATGGGTCATTAGCACACTGATGGCTGTTTACTGTTCACAGGGGGCTGAGTGATACTAGCAATCACAGCATTGTAAGAGGGGGACAGTTGAACCCGGAGGCCTCCACCCCTGTTTAATGATGGACGATTTCTTTTCACAAAGATGGCCTCCTTTACTCCTCTCTCAAACCATCGTTCCTCTCTGTCCAGGATGTGAACATCTTCATCCTTGAAAGAGTGACCGCTGGCCTGGAGATGAGTGTAGACCGCAGAGTCCTGGCCTGATGATGTTGATCTTCTGTGCTGGGCCATCCTTTTGGCCAGTGGCTGTTTAGTTTCCCCGATGTAAGACTGATCACCCTCCTGACACTGAACAACATACACAATATTACTCTGTTTGTGCCGGGGGACTGGATCTTTGGGATGAACCAGTCTTTGCCGTAATGTATTTTGGGGTTTAAAAGCCACTGGGACGTTATGTTTAGAAAATAAACGTCTCAGTTTCTCTGATACTCCCTCAACATATGGAATGACCACTGGTCTGGGTCTGGGTTCCTCTTTTTCACCTGTTGGCTGACTGGAGTCCTGTTTGGGTTTCTTCTCTGCTTTCAGGAAGGCCCAGTTAGGATATCCACATTGCTCTAGAGCCTGTTTTGTGTAGGATTTCTCCTTCTGCCTGGCTCCTGAGTTAGTGGGGATGCTGTCTGCTCTGTGATACAGAGTCCTGATGACTCCTAACTTGTGCTCGAAAGGGTGATGGGAGTCAAACTGCAAATACTGGTCTGTGTGGGTGGGTTTGCGGTACACCTCGGTTTGCAAATGTCCTCTATCAGAAACTGAGACTTCACAGTCCAAGAAAGCCAACCTGCCATTTTTTTTACATCTGAACACAAATTCAATCCAGTCGTGATAAAGACTTTCTCATTTCCTCACCCGTGCTTCAAGGTCAAACTACTCATAAATAACTTTTTAAAATATTTTAGACGCAGGTTACTGCAGCTGACAGCAGAATGGGAAAAAACGTGGCATTCGACACAATCCAATAAAATTTATTTTCGTACAAATTATAAAATAAAACGTACAAAACAAAGAATAGAAAGTATCAATTATGAAAACAATGCCGATATCAATATCATAAAAGAAAAGGCAAGGGTTAAATAGGTCATTAAAAACTGAACCGACTAGTCTGAAAATACACAGTCATGCTTCACAAGGAAGAAAAAACAAAAAAGAGGCAAACATTGTGAACAGAAAACAAATTCCACAAGTTTGAAACATTGTTGCTGACAACTGCACAGCTTATTTTCTCCTTCTGAACTTTAGACACACAAAACCAGTTTGTTTTTTTACTGGATTCTTGTTTGCATCTTTAACACGAGGCTGAGCTCCACGAGTCTAACCACTTCCTTTACGTTCAGGCGTTTTCACGAGCAAAGAAAATGACAAGAATCAAACGGAGTGACAACCAGCGAGCTCAAAGTCCTCATCACGTCTTCATGACAACTGCTTCAGCACTGCGGCAAGCGAAGGTGAAGACGCTTGACGAGACAGAACATGAACTGAACATCTACCAGTCTTTGTCTGGAGACTTGTGGGTCTCGGAGCCCGTCGGTGGTCTGGGCCTCTCCGTCCCAGAGGGTTTCGGTTTTGGTTTTTACACGGATGCTCAGAGTAGAACGTTTTCTCTCTTTGAGCTCAGCTGGTTTGGGTGTAAATCTCTTGGGCTCAGTGTCTGCGTGTGCGCTGGGTGGAGGTGATGTAGAGGAGGGGCTGCCGGGGGTGGGGTGCTTTCTTCAGGTTATTAATGCTGGCTGTCGAGGATTCAGCATGAGAGCCTACAGAGGGAGAAGAATCATTAAGAAAACTGGGCGTGTACCTCTTTGTCTGACAGTAGTGACGGCCAGTTACCTGTGTGCTGGTTGTTGTGGTGGGGCCTGACTTTGGCGAGGGGAGGGCCCCCTCTGTACTGGGGACGCAGCATGGGGGCCTGACCGTTAATATGGAGGTGGGTGTCTGATGTGCTGTCCAGAGGGCGAAACCTCTGAGCTGCGGCTGCTTTAGTTGGAGGCAGCTGCAAGTAAGAGAGTGAGAAAATCCAAAAAATACAAGAAACATCAAAGTTGGTAAAAAGTATTAAAGTATTTTACTGACGGCACATGTACAGCTTAACCAGAACGTTATAACACTCCACAAAATAAAAGCTAATATAAAACTGGAATAGGTCTAAATGCAAAAACATGAAAAAATGAACCCCCTGAAACTGTTTGCTTTATTATAGCATTTATAATATTGTTAAATTTGTACATTTTGTGACTTTTCTTTGAAATAGAAATCATTTATTTATTTCATACAACAAGTGAAAGATGAGACGACGCCCGTTGTGACTTGGCGCTGCATAAATAAACTGAATAAAAACACTCACTGCCTGACCGGTGACTTCAAAGGATCGTGACCGCCTCTTCTTCCGCCGAGCTTCAAAGTCCACGTCACGAGGCGTCTGGTTCTTGGTGGCGGACGGGCGGTTACGAGGGCGGGTCCAGGTCCCCTGCAGGCCGGGTCCCTCCCCAGTGCTGCTGGACAGGTTATCGTCTGAGGTGGCGTGTCTCAGCTCGGGGCTGGGCAGCCTGCCGCGCTGCAGCGCTACACCTCTAGGAGGCGCCTCGCTCAAAGAAAGACTGCTTCTCTGCTTTTTGGAATCCAAGGGAGAGGGGGCGGGGTGTAACCGCAGGGCGTCCACCTCCAGAGCTTTGGAGCGCCGACGAGCTGCTTTCACCACAATGTTCTGGACGCCTTTAAGGATCTGCTGTCGTTCTGTCGAGGCGCAAGTAAAAAATTATTTCACTTAAACATCCTCGTTTCAGCTGATAGTTATTATTTAGGCTTTCCATGAGAGCAGCTGGAGATATTACCGAATATAAAACACGCCGAAAGCAGAATTTAAAATATTCCTCTTGGATTTAAGGCAAAGAGTGAATTACAAATAGTCACCCATTTATTTATAATATAACATGAGTCTGCAACCTTTGCAATAAAAAAACACAACTTTTACCACTTTGCTTACTAATTACAATATGTAGAGCCGCAAAATCTGATCCAACTGTTTACTGTCAACTGGCCACGGACCACAAGTTTGATGGAGATGGCTTTTCCGGCCAGTGGGGGTGACATTATAAAATGTCTAACTATTATTAACATTTATTTATACTTTTACATTTCAACACAAGAGAAAAGACCAGATTCATGTAAAGAAAGAAAATATATAATCTTGAACATGTTATGGAATCAAAGACGCTCTGTCCCCCTCCGTTCCCCAAAGTTGTGGACCTGTGCTCAGTCAAGCTGGCTGATAAACAAACACTTCTTATCAGGACTATGGCTGGGGGAGTTGGGGGGCTCTGGACTGTGATGTGTTACGACCTTCTCAATGCCTCCACTGGTGCAGCGATCTAGGAGATGCGAAGGCTCCAAGGAGTGTTGGGACCCCCACCCCTACCCACTCCACACGCATATGTATTATGTCTATTTATGTGCGATTTTTTTTTATGCCTCAAACGGTGCCCTGTCGAGAACACAGAGTGAGAGATCTTCATTTTTTATACCTCTCTCTTTACGTTTTCTTCCTCTTTTCTCATCTAAGCAACATCTTAGAAGCTGCAGGCCCCTGAACACTTCTGTCCATCTTTAGGCCGGCTGTACGGAAAGTCATTCCATTGTACTTCACTGTGCGTGGATAATAAAAGCATTCAGATTATGAAATTAGGCCAGTTTGTTGGATATCCAATTACATTTTTAAAGAAAAATAAATACTTTGGTTTACTTTGACTTTGTTTTTTGAAATATTCCTTCTCAGCAGCTCGTCTTAAAAGATGTTCCAAAACATTCTGGTGATTTTGAGAGAAAGATCACGATGTGAGACTGGAAGTTGACTTAAAAGTGGCTAAGAAACTACTAGCATGATGCAGTCCCTCATGTTTTACGCTTTGTATTGTACTATCCTTCACAGATTTGAAAATGACTGGCCGTTTTCATTGTTGGCAAGAATTTAAATAAAATTCTGTTTTTATTTTAGTTTTGGTCAAAGCCTGAAAGAGCCGCTCAAAGAGCCACATGTGGCCCCGGAGCCGCAGGCTGCAGACCCCATGTGATATAAAAACAGCCTCTAAATTACTCCAATAAATCTGCCTTTTGCGTTCAAAATGTGTTCCTATCAACCAGCAGTCTTTATTTTTATTTCTACTTTTCAGTTTCATGTACTGCAGCGCCACAGCATGCCTCAACAGTTTGATGGATTTGTTTTAGGGGGTGGGGATGTGCTCCTGGGGTTTGGTTTGGGTCACAAAAACAGCTTTTAACGCTCTGACAAGGTCTCTCTTTCGACTGCGACGTCAACTCGACAACTCCCAGACCACAGAGGTTTAAGCACAGTCACTACGGTTGTAGACGGTTATGTTTTCCATACGATTAACAAGAGGTCGCTGTGTCAAACCCAATATACAGATACATATTTTCTTATGTTCAACACAATTCTTTGCATTAAAAACACTGCTACGTGTGTTTGGAGGTTCCCTGACTTAAAGGCTTAGGCAGCCTTTACTAAATGATGTACCTTAAAAAAAAATCATCTTACCGTTTCGGGAAAGGGGGGCATCAGCCCCGGCCTCGCTGCTCTCAGGTGAAGAGTCCAGCTGGCTACTGACGCTGTGGCTGAGATGCCTGTAGCTCGTAAAGCTTTCAGGAGCCAAAGGCTGCAGCTGCAACACAAGAGACGCGAGCGCTTCATCACGACCATTCACTCCGGCACTTTACCGTAATTTTTAGATTATAAGACACTTAAAATCCTTTAATTTTCTCAAAAATCAACAGTGCACCTTATGTATTAATTCTGTTACTAATCTCAAACTGATTTTAAGTGGTGCACCTGAACAATGTTGAGTTATTGTGAATGAGTTGAATAAAGTTTGTCTTATTTGACTGTTTTGTTTCGCTTAATGCGCCTTATAGTCCAAAAAATACTTTACTTCTAGCTAGTCAGGCTGAGTCCAAACTAAAATCAGTTCTGAGACTCATCAAGAGATATTTTTACTCCCGACCTTTTTTCAACCTCATTTTATTTTTAAAACTCAAATTCTGCTGATTTGGAATATAATACCTGAAAACAATGAATGCAAATATCAGCAGCGAACACTTATGTGTAATTTTTTTAAAACAGTGTTTAAGTGGGGGCCGCCAGGGGGCGCTAGAGGACCCCAGACAGCTGGAGAGAAGATTTAAAAAATAAAAAAGCAAAAATAAAAATGAGTAATAATGTACAGCTCCTTGATGCCTATAAAGAACTGATGCCCCTTTGTCTTTCTTTAATTGTTTTTTATTTTAATTTATTTTGGTGTTGGTTTTTCTTTTGTTTAACATGTAACACTTTTTTCATGTTATATTTCTGTGTGCCTTTAATATGTACAACTTGAGGTTTTTCTTGTGTATACATGCCACATAATTTTGTACATCTGTTTAAAATGTTTAATAAAAAAAAATTGTAATAAATATAATAATAATAATAATAATAAAAATTGCCCAGTAGAGCAATCTGTATCTGTCATTTCCAGATAAACACGCCTGAGGGAGGTTACATTTCTTTTGTTTTGTTCTTCTGGTCAACTGTTTAATGAAAAGTTGTTTTTTTTCCAGTGAGAATATAATAAAGTGTTTAAAACACGTTAGTTAATAACATGTTTATGCTCAGCAGCTGTAATAATTAATTAAATATAGTGAATAAAAGTTAAAACATTCTAAAACTTGATGTTTCTTTACATATTTTGTAATATTGTTTGTGGGTTTGCGAGGGGGGGGGCCACGGCATGGAAAAGTTTGGGAACCCCCCATTTGAAAACATAAATTGTTCGTACCTCTCTGTTGCCCCTCCCATTGATGTGAATCGGAGGTGGGGTCATTATAATCAGGCTCTTTACTTGCTTGGCGTGGGGGCTGCTCTTGAAAACTCTGTCACTGAGAGAGAAAACATTTAAACGTCTTAACTCCAGAACGTGGTGTTTTATGTCAGACGTGTTTCCTTACGGCTCGGACTCGGGCAGAATGGGGGGCAACGTATGTCTACGCATCCTGCCTTGACCTCGTCTGTTATCGCAGCACATGTTGCGCACGCTCTCCTGGTCTGAATCCACATCCTGCGTGTAGTCGCGACCCAGACCAGGCACAGCGATCTTAGGCAAAGAGCCCTCCTGGAAATGAGAGCATTAGTGTCATTATTCATCCTCCTATCTATATTTAGCACCTTAATTAGTATGTGATGAATCTGCTACCTTGACAGTGTATCTGCTGGTCAGCTTTTCCAGGGCCATAGCTCTTTCCATCTTCCTCTCATCCAGCTCCCTCGTGTACGTGTCGTACAGCTCCTGGAGGTGCGGTGGCACCAGCAGACTGTGGTCTGAGTACATAAATCAGAAAAACAGAAATAATTTGGATCTAAAATAACCATCAAATATAATCTAAAGCTAAAGATTCATTTGTGATTTATCCAGAATATTCAGGCCAGTTGTAGGAATGTAAAGACAAATCTGGCTTTTGTTGACAAACTTTACTTTGTATAGTCCAGGGCTCTGCAACCTGCGGCTCTGGGGCCACAAGCGGCTCTTTGAAGCTTTGACCAAAACTTAACATGAAACTGAATTCTACTGGGTTTATACCCACAACAGATGACACTAGTTTTAGCAATTTTCCTGCCAGTTTTCTACAAAATGTGCAAATAAAACTACTTTTTAATCTGTGACCCTATGTTTTAAATGCTTTTTATTAATTCTTCAGTTATTATTTTTAGTGTATTGTGTATATATATATATTTTTTTTTTTTCTCTCTTTAATTTTACTCATTAATTGATTGTTGTTGTTGTTAAGCACTTTGATAACAGGTTCTGTTTTAAATGTGCTCTATAAATAAAGTTGACTGGACTACTAATACAAGAAAACGTGGATTATATTGAGATACTTCATTCATCCAACGTCGAGCTTTATGGTGGGATCTTTGGAATACCTTTAAAACAGATTGCTTTGAACAAATACGGTGCATTTGATAACTGTGGGAATAAAATATAATTGTTAAAGTAAATAAAAGCATTAGTTTTTCATTGAAAAGGTTAAAAAAATCATAATTATATGGAAGAGGATTATGGCCACAATGTAATATTTTAATTGGCATTTTCAGAATTATGACTTTTAACTTTAAATTCTGAGAAAAATGTCAGAATTTAGGAGATCCATCCATCCATCAATCCATCCATCCATCCATCCATCCATCCATCCATCCATCCATCCATCCATCCATCCATCCAATTATCTTTTACCCGCTTCTTCCACTTCGGGTCACGGGGGTCGCCGGTGCCCATGTCCAGCAATCAATGTGCGAGGGGCGGGGTACACCCTGGCAAGTCCATCAGAGAATTTAGGAGATTTTTTTTTATTGCACTGTGGACCTAATCCTCTTCCATACTCACTTTAATGTTATACTTTATTACTGCAAAGTGAGATACTTAATTATCTCATCAAGGCCTGCAGAGTTCAGCGTTTTAAATTTCTATCACAATTTGTCTAAATTATTATTTTCTTTCCTTCTTTGCATAAATACAATCATTTCTTTTGTCCTTAAATGTAAAAATATCAATAAATGTTAAAACTCTTCATATCCTTTTAATTTTATAACGTCACCCCCACAGGCCAGAACCCCTACTCCAGAACTCAAAGTGGCCCATGGGTCATCAGTTGATAATCCCAGTTGTAGGAGGTGTCGCGGCTTCAGGCATGTTTTATTTCCTGAGTCGAGAGGGGCAGTGATGGCTCTTTAGGTTGAACAGGTTGCAGACCCCTGGTCTAGTCCTCAAAGCCCAAAACCTGAGCTCTGAAAAGAACTAACAGCAAAAAAAAAAAAAGTTCATTTTAAAATCCAAACACTGACAAACCCACCATCAATGACCTGTCTCTGCTGCTGAATGATCTCATCGCACAAGTGTCTGTGCTGCTCGAAGCGCTGCACAACAAAGTTTTTCTGCCGGATGACGTTGTCTTTAATCAGTGCGTGGGACTGCATCTCCGTGTGCTCGATCTCCAGCTCGTGGACCTTGCAGAGGAGCGCAAGGACCTCGCGCTGCTCCTCTGAGCTCACCCTCCGAGGGAGCAGCAGCTCTAGGCGCCGAGCTCGATCTCGAAGCTCCAGGAACCTGCACTCCAGCAACCCCTTTGAAGGATGAAAATGGCAACTGAACCAGGGTCCGGTTAAACTCGACCAGTTTCTACTAGTTATCAAAAGGCAGACAATCCCACCTTCTGTTTCTGAAGCTTCTTCTGTTCCACCATGAGGGTGACCAGGTTCTCTCGAGCCACAGACACCTCCTGGGTCTCGGCGCTGTCTGGGGGAGACTCCGGGGAATCAGAATCTTTTTCACTTTCATCCTTATTGACACTTTCCTTCCTCCTCTCTGCACGCCACTTCCTCCTGCGCCTACTCTGCTCCTGCTCCCAGCTGGAGAAAAAAGAAAATGGCGTTTTTTTTTTTTTACTGATAATGATGCTTACTCTGTCTGAGAAAACATCTCAAAGTACAATTCTTAATTTGAGTTTGATTGTCTTGTCAATAAAATCTATATTCAGATGAGACAAGTAAATGATTGTAGTCCCTCTGGCACGTCTGCACACTAAGGTTTGACTGATGGTGGAACTAGACCAGAGGTAATTTCTACAAATCTATAACAGAAGCTTCAGCGTGTTGAGCACATACTAGAAGACTATTTTCAGCACAATTAAATAAAAGCAACTAGGTTCCTGAAATATGGCGCTCGGTATTATTAAACATGTTAAATGTTCGTCTACGGGGAAGCTTCACACAAGTCTTAAACACTGACTCTGCAATGGTTATAAGGTGTTTGGAGGTGTCGATCTGGATCTCCATGTTGCTGTTCTCCAGCTCGATCAGGGACTTCCTAATCTCCATCTGCTGGCGGAAAGCATCCAGAAGCTGCTCCCTCAACTGGTCCATCTCTGCTCGGCTCTGCTGGCTGGAGTGGGCTTGGACCTCCGCTGCACAAAGAAAGGAATCATGTAAAACTAAATCTGTTAATAACATGTGTTGGACAGTTTACTTTGCTTGCAGCCTAAGAGATTAAACCGGAGATATTCAACTGGTGGCCCGGGGGCCAAATCAGGCCCACGGATGAACTCAGTTCGGCCCATCAATGGGTTCATTTTAAAATAAAACCACATTTTAAACCATAAAACAAACTTATTTAATGACAATAACTGCTGGATTTCTGGCCCCTGAGCTCTTGGCTTTCAGTAACTGTGGCCCCCTGAGCAGTTTTGTTGAATAGCCCTGGACTGAACCTACCCTGGATGTTGCGGATGTCAGCTCTGTCGGAGCTGAGCTGGCGGCTCGCCTGTTCTGCGATCTTCTTTTTGAGCCGCTGGATCTCACAGCGGAGGTCCGAGATGATGTTGGTGTACTGAGCAATGTGGTATGACACATTTATCAGGTTCTTCTTCACCTAAAGTACACAGCATTGAGAAACATGTATAAATAACACAAGCGGTTTCATTTTGTGATCGTACCATGCTGAACTTTGGTTGTTACAGCTGAATGTAGAGCAGAGATGCAACCCACCCCTAACGGAACGTTTATGATGAATTACGTTCTCAAGCTTACCCTCGTTCGAATGCTTTTGGCACGGTCAGCATACGTCAGCGTGTTACGAGACTCCTCGAAAGCTATGGAGGCGGGGCTAATGTGAGCTATCATTACCGTTCGGCTGTTTCCACCCAAAGAGTCCTAACAGTGAAACATATCACACCTTAATAAATGATATCAAAGTGATTACAACAGTAGGTTTTTCTGTTGGCACACAAACCTTCAGGAGGCGAGTCAACTTGCTGTCTCGATAGTTGACGTACTTGTTGCCATTTTTGTCGCTCAGGGCGTTGATGCAGTTGCCCAAAGCCAGAAGTGAGCGGTTGATGTGGGCTCCTTCTTTCAGCCGCTGACCTCTGTTCTGAGTCTGAAAGATTGCAGAGATCGATGAGCGAGAAAACCTCTGAACTCAAAGTGTTTTTACCGTTTCATCCCTGTGAGGGTAGATAAGAGAGCTCGCAGTAAATGGGACTGGAGAGAGGCGGGGAATAACCTGCGAGTGCCACTTCTCTAAACACACGAATAAAGAAATGTACATTAATCTCATAGGTTTACACATCATGAACAGATACTTTTTATTAAACAGGTTTATTTACATATGAGTTTTGAGTAATGAGTTTTACTCTTGTACTCTCAACTCTAGCTCCATCTTATATTCAAGATCTTATTGTTCCATATTTTCCCAACAGAGCACGTCGTTCTCAGACTGCAGGCTTACTCGTGGTTCCTAGAGTTTCCAAATGGGAGGACGATCTTTCAGTTATCAGGCTCCTCTCTTGTGGAACCAACTTCCAGTTTCTGTCCGTGAGGCTGACACATTGTCCAGTTTTAAGACTGGGCTTAAGACTTTCCTTTTTGATAAATCCTATAGTTAGGGTTGGTTGTTATGCTGCCCTAAGCTTCAAATACTGGGGGACAAACTGACCTCATTTCCTTAAATGAATTGTTAAAATTGAACAGTGTTCATTTGATACTATTTCTATCTTATGTGATAATTGAACTGCCATTGTGTATCTGTTACTCCTTCCTGTCCTGTCAAACCCAGCCAGTCGAAGCAGATGGCTGTTTCTTCCTCACGGAGGGAGTTTTTCCTTTCTACTGTCGCCTTCATGTTTGCTCAAAATGAGAGTTCTGCAATCGAGTTAAACTCAAAGCAGTCTGCTCCTCAGATAAATAATGTTAAATTATTATTTTTACATATGAATGTTTCTGTTCAGTGCCCTGAGACGACTTCTGTTGTGACTTGGCGCTATAGAAATAAACTGAATTGAATTGATACTACGATGACGTAAGTACATACAAGTTATAACAAGTATTGTTTATGTATTAACCACTTGAGTGGCTTTGTGAGACAATATGAGAAAAAAAAGTTGTTTATACTGTACCTTAGGTTGTTTTTTATTATTATTAAACATGGTAAAATATAACTTCTGTACATTAACATAATGCATTTTCCCCAGAGAAATTAAAGATTTTGTTTAAAATAGAAATCAACGAACACATGCAAATTAGCACATGAAGCACTTTTAGTTTTATGACTTTGTCTAAATGACCAACAACAGTTGATCAGACAAGCTTGGGTCAAACCGTATTTCTAATAAAAACGTGTCTTAAGTTTTGAAGTCAAAATAAATAAATTGTCCATCTGTACACATTGCAGTTTGAACCAATTAAGACATACAAACCTGTGCGGCTCGTTCTGAGCCGGCGAGGTCGATCATAAAAAGCCGAGCGTAGCGGACCTCCTGCAGGACGTCTCGACAGCGGCTCTGCTGCTTGACGGCCACCTGCAGCACAGCGTGGGAGCGAGACGACGTCTGATTAGCAGCTGTTGGCTCCTGCGTGCGCTGCTTGTTGCCCTTCATTAGCAATTCCATGATCTGAAAACACACAGGTGCAATGCAGCGTTTCTGATGCTCTGATTGAAGCAAACGAGCCGCGCAGTCGTTGGTTAGGTAAGCTCGCACCTCCTGGGCGTTAATAGTAGACACCTCTGTGATGCCTGCAACCTGAATCACACCCTTAGAGTCTTCTCTTAGGTCCAAGAAGCCTGAGGATGGGTTCAGCAGGTCCCGGATCATCTCATTATAGATCTGACAAGATATAGACAAAAGTGAAAAATGACCATGAAGTAGGTCTGACACGATAAACAATAAATCAATTAATCGCATGATAAATGAAAATTATCAACCTCATTTTCATTTATCGGCTTTATCGTTTCTTCGTGTCTCTTTCTACTGAAGACAATGGATGACAAAAGGCTCAACTCCGGTGCTCTTCACTGACCCCCCCCCCCCCTTTCACTTTTCTCTTTAAAATCCATTTTAACCGTCCAAAATTGTGTTTTTGGATCGTTAAACGCAGCTAAGCTGAGAAGCTAAGCTACGAGCTAAGCTAACAGGTTGACCTCGAGTAAAAACCTCCGTCTTGTCAAAGCTCCAAAATTCACATTTGAAACCTGTGCCTTCGTGTAAAAAGTTGTTTTTCTCTGCAAAAAGAAGCTGAGAACTTGTTTACTGATTTTTTTAAATTAAAAGCTTTGTTTGACAAATGCTATGCTAAAGAGCTCAAACCACACCAAGCGTCCCCCATTTTGAGAACTGAATAAAGGAAGAGACAGCCCATGTCATGTCAAGGGGGCTCCATCCCTTTTTTTTTTTTAGAGACACGATGCTCGCTCCCTCACTATCCATTCTTCAGTTCAAACAGTCTTATACTGCTATCCGGTGGTCAAAATAGGTATTACACTCAAAACAAGTTAACAGTTCTTTTTAAATTTGACATTAATTACTAATTATTGTTAAATTTCTAACAATATTATAATTTATCGCAATAATTTCTGAGACAATTAATCGGCCAACAAAATTTATTATTGTGACGGGCCTACTTGCAGTGAGATAATCAATTCCAGTCGCGATATCAAGACTTCATACAAATTAACAAAATTTGTTATTGTGAGAGGCCTACCATGAAGTAATGTTTCTGGTTCAGAAACATTAGGTGACATATTCTGACCAACATTTAAATAAGGAACTTTAGCTTGTTGCCTGGTAAGCTGCCATCAGACCAGAGCCAGGGTTGACTGAATTGACAACAGGGGCCTAAGTGAGAGACATATAAAAGCAAAAAGCAGGAAGAGACATCCTGAAAAGTGTTCCAGGCTGACAATCTGTCAGCAGTCTTACAAAGCCAAGCTCGCCCTGGACAACACAAACAAGAGGATGCTTCCACTCACAATGACAGCTGCATTTTCATTGTTATTTCTTCCACCTGTGCGCTCTCATTGCTGGTGAAGTTGAAATATGGTGCTTAATCATGCAGCAGTAAGTAGCACAGTCGGTTTGGCTTTATTTCAACACATTTCATTCAACGCCACAAACAAAGAACTTGTAATTTAGGAAGGAGTGAGAGGATCATTAAGGTTAATAGAGAGCCATAAATGCAGCACAAAAAAATAAACCCAGACTTTCAGTTATTACATTTAGTTCTGGACAAGGCAAGGGCTGATTACCAATTTCAATGTATACCACAGTGTTAAAGAGTCATGATGACAAAATTAGTAAATCCTCCTCTGTGTAGCTTTGACCTGTCATTCACTGGTATATGATGGCCAAGAGGAGGGTCCCCTACACTTTTATGCAAGTCACTTGGTTGTACATTTTATTTGATGTATAACTTAGCTCCATCTTCTTATATTACAGATCTTATTGTTCCATATTTTACCAATAGAGCACTTCACTCACAGATTGCAGGTTTACTTGTGGTTTCTAGTTTCCAAAAGCAGAATGGGAGGCAAAGCCTTGTGTTATCAGACTCCTCTCTTGTGGAACCAACTTCCAGTATCTGTCCGTGAGGCTGACACATTGTCTACTTTTAAGTTTAGGCTCAAGTCTTTCCTTTTTGATAAATCCTATAGTTAGGATTGGCTTGGTTTCCTGACCTATCCCTTATCCTAGGCTTAGACTACTAGAAGACCAAAAAAAAAAGGACCTCATTTCATTAAATGAATAGTTTGTATTCGTAATTATGTCTATCTTAACTTTTGTGTTTTGTCTTTTCTCCTAGAGACAGACCTGCTCGCCTCCATTGTGGACCTGCCAGTCTCCAGTTCTCCTTCCTGTCCGCTCAAACCCAGCCGGTCGAAGCTGATGGCTGCTTGTCCTAATCCTGGTTCTACTGGAAGTTTCTTCCCATTATGAGGACGTTTTTCCTTTCCACTCTCGTCTTGTGCTTGCTTAGGATGGGAGACTGTGACGAAATGAAGACTCAACACAATCTGCTGGGTACCATACCTTACATAAATAATGCTACTAATTGAATTTTTATGTACATGAATGTTTCTGTTCAGTGCCTTGAGATCACTTCTGTTGTGACTTGGTGCTATATAATTAATCTGAATGGAATTGAATTAACAGTCAGTCATGCCTTGTCTGCTGGAGACGAAACATCGGTCTCTTCTGAACACAACACTGTTTTGAAAAAATCGTTTGCAACAAGCTACAAGAGTTAGCATGTTAACAGGTGAAATATACATCCTACTGCAGAAGCTAATAACCAGCTAACATCTGTTTGTCAGGCTCTCAACTTTACTTTACAGAGAGCAAAACTGCAAAGAAGATGTAATATAGGCACGACTATTTAAAAAATATAAATAAAACAGCCTGTTGACTTTGATGAAATTTAAATTGGATTTTAAATAAAATCTCAATACTTTTGATTAAATTAAAAATTCAGCCTTCAACTTAAATATCATAAATAAAAATTCAGATGACAAACTGGTTATAAATCTATCCTGAGTGCAGTAAAAAGCTGACACACTGATTTTAATTGGAGTGACTGTCAACATGTTCAATAACGTTCTCCCATCTTCTTATTCACATCTGTGCATTAAAATTAAAACTATAAATACATTTAGGTGATATTTTACTAATATGTCTATAAAATAATCATTACTGACCTGCATATTATATTATTTAGGCCATAATAATAGTACATTAATTTTTGTTTTTAACAAAAGCAACCAATACATGTGATGCATATTATACATTTTGGTTTAAATACAGTGAAACAGTAGTTTATTTGTGCAAATTCATCATACGGTCAAAATCTGATGCTTATTCTCCCCTTCTGCAGGGGTCGCCACAGTGAGCAAACTTGCACAGTCGATTTGTCAATTGTTTACGAAGGAAGCTCATCCGGACACAACCTGGACTCAAACCTGCAGCCTCAGGACTACAATACTGTCTCACTAACCACTGAGCCACCATGGCCCACAGCTAATGTGAGGTATAAAGCTTCTAAAGCGAGAACAAAAATAAACAGAAGGAGCATTTAAACTGTAAAGGGTGACTGTTCCTACAGGTTGTATTATGGATTCTTGTGCATGCGTCGCACGGACTGCACACGTGAAAGAAAGTGAGATCTGATTCTGAACAAGAAGCGGAACAGATGTGTGCACTTTGCTCAGTGCAGCTATAAAATGACATATAACCTCTTTGTGGCGAGGCGCCGGCAGCAACAGATTGCTCCCTGGAAACGGCAAACACGAACGTCGCACACGCACTTGAGATAATATTAATACAGGTCAGGCAGCATCCAGTTTTCATGCCTGACATTTTTGACAGAAAGGAATTTTGCTTCCACCCACTCAGAGGAAAGCTAAAGAGCTACGCTGTCATAATTTTGTCATTCAGTTTGCATAATGACGGCGCCTGGCAGTCGAGCTGGTGTTCAGCTCAAACACTGCTTCTTTGTGCCACCTTCTTTTTCAGCTGAAAACTGTTGTTTTTGTGTTTGCTCTTTGTATGCAAGGCTTCGTGATTCAGTATGTTGCACAGTTGTTTACCGTAGAGCTAGAACAGTTGCTAAAGCTTTTACACTCTACATTCGACATCATCCAGTCAAGATTTGTTCCATCTCAAACTGGTGCTAAATGCCGATGAAACCAAAAGGGACGTTGTTTTCAAACAGGGAGTCGGTACCAGCAGCCCTTCCTTCCATTTTATCTATGAATAGTGTTCCTATTGTTTGTTGATTCTTACAAATACCTGCGAATTTTGATCGACTCGCATCTCTTTTAAGCGCCATGTCGAAAACTTGATAAAGAAATTGATATTAAAACTGGGTTTCTTTTTTAGAAATAGATCCTGTCTAAATGAACGCTAGGAAACGCCTTGTACTTTCCTTCCCTTCATTGACTACGATGACATTATTTACACGAACACCCTTACAAGCACTCTGCAGATGTTGGATGCTGTCTATCACGGTGCGCTAAGATTCATAACTGGAACTACGTTACCCATCACTGCACCCTGTATCCATTGTTTAACTGGACGCCATTAACTTCATGACTTCAGACTCTCTCACTGGTACATTTTCATCTTTAAATCACGTCTCGGTTTGTTGACTTCATACATCTCCTCCTACATGTCTCTGTGAGTGCAGCTACAGCGTGCGCTCCCAAGACATCATTAGCTGCAGCATCCCCTCAGTGCAGACTGAACTTTGCAAAAGGGCCTTCTGTTACTCCGCTCCTGTTTCCTGGAATATCTTGCAAAAAGATCTGAAGCTCTCGACCTTGACCTCTCAAAGTGGCTTTAAACAACTGATAAGTTCATGGCAAAAACCAACGCAGTCACGTTCCTGTTTAAGTATTTTTACATCGTTTTATAATGTAGCTGTTTTTGTTTCGTTTGTATATAATTTACTTTTCATTTTATATGCTTTTATATGATTGTTTTATTGTTGTCTGTACCTCATCTGTGTTCTTTGTTAAAATAAGGTCTCTGTTGTAAATGAGTCCTCGAGGCTCAATGAGACTAACCTGTAAAATAAAAGGTTGAATGAATGAACTGCGTTTTGAATTAGTGACTAAAATTCAAATAAATGCAAGAGTAGAGAAACTATCAGTAAAATGAACCAACTCTGTTGTATCCTGTGCTGTTAGGGCAACTAAGTGGTTTTTTAATGAGGTGAGGAACTATGGCCTGCAGGCACACAGAGAAACGAACATCATCAGCCTGTGGGTTCATCATTGGCTAATCATCCACAGAGATATTTGCTTAGCCAACCAGACGAAAGCTGGAACCTCACCAGAAAACACTTCGCAACAGAAACAGCTTTCTACCTGAAGGAAAATACATTGTAATATTTATGCTCAACTCAACCATGATTATTTTCTGGACGTTTTCATGTAGTTTTATGATCTAGTTTGATAACAGACAGAGTCGACTACAAATAGTATAGATGTTACACAGTCTCAAACCTTAGAATATGTGTTAGTCTCAGCTATTAGCTATTTTGGGGGTTTTGAAGGTCAGTTGTCTCTGGCAGAAGTTGTATAACAACTGCTACATTGACTCAGTGAGTTGTTCAAACCTTTTAGCTTCTGACCCACAAAATAAAGCATACACAGACTGAGACCTGATCGTCTCTGGCTGGTAAGTAAACAAACATTTCTAATAAGCCAATTAAACAATGGCATAAAGGCATTAATGGAAACCCAAACAGCCTCAACATTTATTATACTACACTTTATAGTTACAGCATCTATGTCTTGTAACGATCACAGCAAAACTTTGCTTTAAGAATTATAAATTAATTGTTTTCGATTATTAATTTCGATTCCCTAATATTTCATTTACGTTTGACAAAAAAACTAGACTAATTGTACCTCCAGATAGGACATGGATACGCTGTACAGCATGTCATCACTGGTCTCCTCGATGGCACGAAACAAATCGTTCAGTGTGCGGACGTAGATGCCCGGCTCCTTGTCGGTTCCCAACATGGTGTACGTTTTCCCACAACCTGAAACGCAACACAGCGAAACGTACCAATGAGAAATCGACTTTACGTTTGTTTTGTGCACCAACTGGTATAAAACAGTAGAGAAAATGTCTAAAGTTTGGTGTCTTATTGAATTCTGAGTGTTTGCCGCTAAGTGACCAGCAAGCCGTGCAGCCATGTTTTACACTGTCAGTTTTTTTTCTTTAAATAATATCTTCAGTGTATCTCATTGCCCACCTCCACTCACATCTTACCTGCCTCACCTTGCTTTGTACTCACCTTTGAGTGACCTATCCAGTGTTTCCACTACCATTATACAAGGGGGGTGCCCCGCCCTGTCAACAAAACCAAGCACCCCACCTACCGAACTGAACTGCGTGCATCCCTCTACCCGTCGGCGCTGACATAGTGCTAAGCTAGCAGCGCACAATACAGGCATGCTAGCTAAAAAGCTAAAGGCGGCGCTGATGCTCCTCTTTCCTCACGCTGAACTGAATAAATGTTAAGTGTCCCTGTGATGGACTTGTGATCTGTCCAGGGTGTCCCCCACCTCTTGCACAGTGATAGTTGGAAATGGGCACCAGTGACCCGGAAAGGAAGAAGCAGGTAAAAGATAATGGATGGATGGATAAATGTTAAGTGGCTGCTGCAATAATCCCCCACCCCCACCCTCTTTACTACAACTGCTTTATTTGCATTCACAATAAAGAAGATCAGACGCAGTTAATCTCTGAAACAGATGGACAGTAAGGAGGCAGGAAGGGGTTAGAAAAGCGACAGAACAGATACTGTAGATAACTTGATGCACTGCACAATTAGCCTCTGTGCTTGAAATACTGGAAGCAGACTCTCCTCATCATACCTTAGCTGAAAAAACACATCCTGAAACAATTTGTGATTTTCCTCCTTAAAGAGGGCTGACCGACAGGCTGACCACAGACCGAGTGATAAAACATGAAGTTGGTGAATGACGCCTCAGTTGAGACAGAGTCTATCTGCACAACATACACACCCTCGACTCACAAACACAAACCTGTGGGTCCATAGGCAAACACAGTGGCATTGTAGCCTGATATGAGGCCTTCTATTAGCTCTTTGGTTGTAGCTCGGTACACCTCGTCCTGTATAGAAAGAAAACAATACTTGAGGAACATCTGTTTCATATTTATTCACCTTCTGACTTTTTTTTAAACTTTGATTTCTGACCTGACTGGCTGAGAAGTCAAATGCCACATCAAACATGTATGTCTTCTCCCTGGAGCGGTTGGCACGCAGGATGTCATCCGGGTCCTCCATGGGGTCCATCAGAACCACCATCTAGTGGTGAAGAAGGGAAAAGGGAGAAAGTGGTTAGTGTTTGAGCTCATGCAGAATGGAGGTTACCAAGCATTTACTGTTTACTCAATTGTACAGCTGTAAATAAAAAAAGAGAAGCAATGCACATCTGCAGCATCAGCGGTCAGCACTAGCAAGTTCAAAATGCAGATATTAACTGTGGATTTCCTGAACCATTCTGAACAGTGCACGTTTCAACAGCGTAATAAAACAAGGCCAAGCATCTATTTAACAGTCATTAACAACCATTACTGTGAAGGCTTTCATCCTTTTTACCGATTAGCAAACTACCAAACGCAGCCATGATGAAACTTTACTTTTAATTATTTTCAAAGTCAAATTAGCATTCAAACTACAATGTCAGTCTGATCAGCACACGTCTCCCTCTGTTTTAAAAGTAAGCTCACAAAGATCTGAGATGAAGCCGTCCACACTGCAGCTGTTACTCTTCCCTTTATCCTTTTCAAACAAACGATACATGGTTATAAAAAACACAGCAATGTTCTGTTCATCCCTTACAGGACATTCTTTTTTGTACCCAATTACAGCAGGTACCGCTAAAGGAACAAACTGACATAGTGAGCTTGTGCAATCACATTATAACAGCTACTGCCTTCCAGTTTCAGTGATAAACTTCACCGCTATTTTTGTACAGAGACATGGATAAACATGTTGGTACCCTTCCACAATAACTAAAAAAACTGATGTGACTAGCCAAAAATGTCCAGCTTTGTCTCATCAGTCACAAAAACGTCTTGCAAAAACTATTCTGGCAAATTCCTCTGTCTTTTGATTGTGTGGAGGGAGGTGGGGGTGGGATCGGTTGCCTCCTTCTTCCATGAAGCCCATTGTGATTCAAAGTGCAACGGAATGTGTGTTCAGAAAGTGAAGTGCACCTTGACATCAAAATTTAGCTTGACTGTTTCTGGATGACTTCTTTGGCTCTTTTTCTACAGTCTTCATCAGATCAGTCTGGGGTTGCATTCACTCTTGCATCCATGTCCTGGGAGGTTGGCTACAGTCCCATGAACTTTACACATGGCGGGCCCCCCAAAAAGCAAAAAAGGTCACACACTATTATTTCGTTGGACCGCCTTTAGCTTTGATTACATCATGCATTCGCTGTGGTATTGTTTCGATAAGTTTCTGCAATGTCACAAGATCTATTTCCATCCAGTGTTGCATTAATTTTTCACCAAGATCTTGCATTGATGACTAGACACTAGGCATGATGGGTGCATCACTTCACCTGCCCCTCTTCTTACCATGATGCACCCATCACTCTGGAACAGAGTAAATCTGGACTCAGACCTTCTTCCATTGCTCTAGAGTCCAATCTTTATGCTCCCTAGCAAATTGAAGCCTTTTATTCCAGTTAGCCTCACTGATTAGTGGTTTTCTTAAGTCTACACAGCTGTTCAGTCCCAATCCCTTGAGTTCCTTCACATTGTGCGTATGGAAATGATCTTACTTTCACTATTAAACATAACCCTGAGTGCTACTGTTGTTTTTCTTCCATTTGATTTCACCAAACGTTTAAGTGATCGCCGATCACGATCATTCAGGATTTTTTTCCAGCCGCATTTCTCTCGAAGACGATGGGTCCCCACTATCCTTCAAGTTTTAAATAATGTGTTGGGCAGTTCTTAACCCAGTTTTAGTAGTTTCTGCAGTCTCCTTAGATGTTATCTCTGCTTGATGCACGACAATGATTTGACCCTGCTCCAACAGACTGACATCTTTTCCACGACCACGCGATGTGTCTTTCATCACGGTTGTTTATGAAATGAGAAGCAACTTACTGCACCAGCTGGGGTTAAATAACTTGTTGCCAGCTGAAAGATAAATCGCTCATGCAGTAATTATCCAATAGGAGGCTCGTACATATTTGCTTAGTTAAATCCAGGTGGCAACTTTTGTTTTGGCCAGGCAGTGTATATTTTTATTGTAGTGGCAGCAGTAGTGACAGGAACATGAAGTTTCTTGGAGATGATCTGTCACCTTTACCTTTAACATGACTATCATTTTCTTTCTGAGCTCCTCAGACAGCTCTCACCTGTGTCTTCTCTGCTCTATATTCAGCGTTGTACACACAAGAATACCAAACTACCCAGTGGTTGTTCCATCTAAATAGGCTGATGGAAAGTTTAAAAGAAATTTTTATACTAACCAAGTTCAAAATGTGCCTGTAATGCATGCAAAATCTATTTATGGGTAGCAACGAATTTGTCGGTACTATTTTAGCATACCTTTGTAAAATTAACACCAAATAATTTCTTAACAATTGTGTTGCTCACTCTGTCACATACTGAAAACAGGCTGATATACAACATAAACTTATTTTACCTGAATACGTTTTTACAAGAAAGTAAGCGTTGTTTCAATGAACTGTAAGGGTACCAACAAATGTATCTACGTCAGTCAAATGTTGTGTTCATCCAAAAAAAAAAAAAAATTATAAGCTCGTCAAATTCTCACTAAATCAGATAATGTGTTTATTTTTTATTTATTTTTTTTACCAATTAACTGTAGTCTGTTTGAGACCCCTCCTGCTGTATTAAGATTAGTCTTGCACAATGAAATAGTTACCTTCCAATCAGACAAAAAATAAAAATAAAACTTCAGCAAAGAAATGAAAGACGAAACGTGAATTCTCAGATTAGCTATTTCATCTAATATTGGTAAGACGTATACAATGGGGAATGTTAGTTTATCTTTTTTACATCATTAATAAAAGTTTTGCTAATTAGTCTTTCAATGGCACAATATGTATTGCGTACATGTATTCATTTATGTAAATTGTAACCCATTCATTCATCTGCAGTCATGTGGATTTTGCTCAAACAACATTATGACCCAGTAAAAATCCCATTGGGGAAGCTCATTCATAGCATGTGAAGGGCGCACACGTGCTCAGTAAATATAAGAGAACATGAGTCATTGACACTGCAATTTGTTATTTATTCTTTGCTGCAAAGACTGAAGCTGGGCTTCCATTATGTTTTCTGTGATTAAAAAAAAAAAAATCTGTCACGTTGCTTTGAAAGGACTACTAGACAAATCCCAAGTGGTAACCTTCAATTTCTTGGAACTCTCTGGCTCTAAAAAGATTAGTTCAGAAACCAAACGTGCACATCTAAAATATTAAAAATGGCCGATCAATATCGGAGCCAGAGCAAGTACAATGAATTTGTGATTTTACAGCTAAAAAGAAATCTGCCTTCAGGATATTGTGAACGTGAATCTTGAGCAACATGTCCGGCAGAGAGGAATATGGAAAAAAGACAGGTTTACGTCATACTCAGGTGAACGATGAGGCAGCTGGGGATTTGGCTAGGTGTGATCAGCTGGTCGGTTTTGTTTAGGAGCAGACCAAGAGAGTCCTCCGAGGCCCGTAACACTGGAGCACACGGCTTGTTTGATGATGCCCTCAGCCACTGAGCAGCACACTTTGAAGCCTCTCCATTGAAATTCAAGAGGAGAGATTTCACTTTTTTTAAACTGACGAAACAAAAAGGTGAAGGGTATAGCAAGCTCGCAGACTGCAATCAAATAAGGTGAGGAGAGGAAGATGGAAGTACTTGAGAGAAGGAAAAACAGGAATGATGGAGTGAAGAGAAAAACAAAACACTTGCTCTCAACACGAGAAACACATGAAGAAGACAGAGTGCAGCAATTAATGCTGCGCTCTTTTTAATCCTTTTCTCAATGTTTCTTCTCAGCTATGATGAACAACTACTAATTGTATTTCACTAATAAAATCTCCAAAGAAGTTTCTTTGATACTCAAGTTCAAGAGCTCTTCAGTTTTAGCCAATGACGAAATTCTCAAACTGCAAGTATGGCTTGAAGAATCAATTAACAAAAGGTGACAAACATGACTAATGAGTAGAAGAGTCACCTTTAAACTTAAGGAAAGAAAAAAGCACAATTGCATTTGTGGTTAAAAAAAAAAAAACCAACAACCATTAGGCCTGTCACGATAAACAATAAATCAATTAATCAATTAATCACATGATAAATGAAAATTAACAACCTCATTTTCATTTATCGGCTTTAATGTTTCTTCTCTACGCTAAAAACAGCTAAGCTAAGAAGCTAAGCTACGGGCTAAGCTAACAGATAAACCTCGGGGGGAAAAAACCTTTGTCTTGTCGAAACCCGTGCCTTTGTGTAAAAAGTTGTTTTTCTCTGCAAAAAGAAGCTGAGAACTTGTTTACTGATTTTTTTTTATTAAAAGCTTTGTGTGACAAATGCTATGCTAAAGAGTTCAAACCTCACCAAGTGTCTGCCATTTTGAAAACCGAAGAGACAGCCCATGTCACGTCAAGAGGCCTCCCTTCCATTTTTCTTAAAGAGATACACTGCTCACTCCCTCACTATCCGTCCTTTGGTTCAAACAGTCTTATATTGCCAACTGGTGGTCAAAAAAGATACTACATGCAAAATAAATTAACCAACATTTCTTCTTAAATTTGACAATAATGACTAATTATTGTCAAATTTCATACAATATTATCATTTATCACAATAATTTCTGAGACAATTAATTGCCCAGCAAAGTTTGTTATCGTGACAGGCCTAACAACCATAAACATTAGATGATGTTTATGACAGTACAAAAAATATACATTGCAGGACGACATATTATATGTTTGGGGGTTCTTAATTTCCTCCAGTGAGCCACAATGGTTTGTTAATAAAGTTTGGAACAAGTTCAATGCTGAACGTTCTCCTGTAAAAAAAAGCAGCTTCAAATTCAAACCATTCAAGTTCCAGGTCTAAAACCACAACAATGATAAATATTTATTGAAAAACGAGTCAAAATTTCTTGATATGAAAAGTATACTCCAGTAGACTAAATTATAAATTTGGAGACGGATGCCATAGTGGATACAAATTAAGTCTGGGCGAGGGGGAAGGCAGGCAACAAAATGTGCCTGGCCTAGAACAAAGTTAAGCAAACCATGCACACCACAATAA